AAAAAAAAAAAAAAAAAAAAAAAAAAGCCACCTGCTTGGGGCCCAGGGACACACACAAAAAAAAAATTAAAAAAAAATCCACCTGGTTCCCCAACCAGGACACATCATGACGACTAAGTCTTGTTGTGGAGCGAGCTGGAGCTCACAGCCATAATCTAGGGACTTGCCGCCCCAGTTGCCAGACGCCAGTATTTTGAAGTGCGACGCGGACAAGCTGTATGTCCAGGTGCATTAAAAAATGTGGGCGTTTGGCGAGTGGTGCGGCGGCGAGCCCCATCATCCTCAATCATGCGTGTTAGAAGAGTTGTCACGTCACCAGCACTCCTCAACAGGAAGTGGCAGCATCTGTATCGTCAGATGCTGCCACGGTTATTCCCAAGTCCACAAGCTGGATCTGCTGGAGCTGTCTATTCAATAAGCAGCCGCGCCTGAAGTGTTGAAATGCGGACCTGCCGTGTAACTCCACTGGGAAGCAGATGAGGAAAGGCTGCAGAGTTACGACAATTCGGAATCACCTAGGACCAGTCAGTTCCGTGATGACATCTCAAGGCCATTATGCCCTTTTCACACACACACTGAAAACTGCAATCAGACTCGCTGTCTTCTTATCTTCGCATACATGCAAACAGACAGATGGCGATTCACTCTGGCGCACAGCACCCACTCAAAACTCAGAGATATGGAAATCGAGAACACAGTTCAGATGCAAACTTGCTTCAACAGGTCTTGGCGCATCAGCGCCTGTACATCCCAACTCTCGATACCGTTTCCAACGCCACTGTTCGCACTCACTCAACTCAGGATCTCCCTGGATATGCCACGCGCACACACACACTCTCGCTGTACACGCCGACATATACACACGCTGAACTCCACGTCTAAACTGCAGCCGCTATGGCCGCTCCACCACTCACTACCTCTACCCTATCTTCTTCCACCCCACTTCAACTTTGGGCGCTCTGCAGACCACCTCGCACAAGACGCTGGAGCAGCGCTTCCGCATGGGTTACCCAGCGAATGAATGACTTGCTGGACGCTGCCTCTTGATTTATACTTCTGTTGGTCGTTGGTCTGCCCCTTTCCTCCAGGCCCTCGGTGCACACAGTCCCACACGGTACCCTCTTGATTTATACTTCTGTTGGTCGTTGGTCTGCCCCTTTCCTCCAGGCCCTCGGTGCACACAGTCCCACACGGTACTTGCTTGACTGGACTACGATTGATTGACTGGGACCGGTACCGCAGACGGGGTTGCACTGTCGACTCGAGGCAGTCGCACTGACGAGTCGCCGCAGTTGGACTCCCCACTAACCTACAGACCTCTAGCCTAGCGGTTTCGACCTCTATATACAGCGGTAACCCCTACTTGACAGATCTACAGATCGAACCCCTACAACTACAGGGACCTATGACAAAGAACAGTCACTACTAAAACACAGGTCGCGGGCTCAAATCACACAGGGGTCTACTCGATAGTGTACACGGGTGCAGGTAAGGTCTAGGGATCGAACCCTGGGTTCTGCATCTACTTCTGCAAAGGTGAAAACCGTTTCAAAACAAAGAAACCCTGCCAAATAGGGAAGACAACTCAAAGCAAAGAGGAATGAGGGTGTACGCAGATACGACCACCCTCTTTCCTAAGCCAGTGGCATTATGTGCGTTCGATAAGCCGGTTCCTTCCTGTGGTTGAAGTTAGAAGCAGACTCTCTCTCTCTCTCTCTCTCTCTCTCTCTCTCTCTCTCTCTCTCTCTCTCTCTCTCTCTCTCTCTCTCTCT